CGCGCGCCGGGGACGAGGCCGTGCGGCGGCGCGGAGCGCGCGCTCGGCGAGGGCGCCCCCTCCAGGGCCGACTGCAGCCTGCGGGACTAGCCTGAGCGGTGAGTTCCAGAAGCTGGCTCTATCTAAGACTGGCGCCTCCTCCGCCTCCCCCTGGCGCACGCACACACACACACACGCACACACACACACATACACACGCGCGCGCGCGGGGGGGCGCGCATACACTCGCGTGCGCAGCACGGCCGGCCCGCGTCCGCGGCCTGATTGGCGAGCTAGCCTCTCGCAGCCGATCGAGAGGGCGCGGCACGGCCCCGGTGCGCGCGGTGTGGTTGGCCAAGCCCAGAACCTGGTCGCATCTCCCTAGGGTATCTTGGCCCCGCCGCCCCGCCGCCCTGCCGCCTCCCCGCACCCGGTCTCAGTTACCTAGTCTGCCAGTCCCCGTGCTGCGGGAGCGTGAATCATAACGGTACTGCCGGTAAAAACCCTGGGCTGCTACCCAGACCTGCACCCGTGTTGGCAGCGTGTGAAGTTTATCTCTTAGGCTCCGTGGCCCCCTCTTTTAAAGGGTGGGGGAGATGGTCAAAATCAGCGCCTGTGACAAACACCCCTGACTGAGCAGAGGGCGGGCGGGCGGTTGTGTGTGGGTGTCTCACTCGTGCGGGTGCAGGGGAGAGCGGGTGTTGGGATAACCTCTGATTACCCCTGTCCCGCGCCCCTTGCACGTGCACTGTAAGTCCCCAGCCCACGGTGGGTGCTGGGGGTGGTCCCTATCTCTAGGCAGCCTGAGGTCTGGGGGAGACAGACCACTAGGGAGGAGGTGGCAGGCCCAAGGGGACCAGTTGGAGCTCCCAGGTCTGACCCCTCCCTCCAGCAGTCTGGAGGTGCTCCTATGACGCCCAGTGGGAGGGAGGGAAGGAGAGGGCTGCCACCCCCGCGGCTGTGTGAAATCTGTGCTGGGTGCCCTGAGGGCATGGTGGGCAGGGGTTGGGGCACCCCCAGCAATGACGGGAAGTGTCCCCATGAAGAAGTCCGAGGTTGGGGCTGCTGCTGTCCTCGCTGAGCCTCAGGGGAGCCTCCTTTAGCCCGCAGCCTGGCGCTTTCTTCTTAGGTCAGCTGCCTCAGGGAGAAGAGCAGTCGTTTTAGCTGAGATGCCAAGTGCGGTTACCGCTCTTGGCACCAGCCGAGCCTCCAGGAGGGAGTGGGTCGGGGCCAGGCCAGAACTCAAGCATTCCTGAAGATGGAACTTTGAGGGCAGATGCTCTTGGGTCGAGCCCCCAGGAACCCTGTGCAAATCCTGTCAGTGAGTGTGTTTGAGGGAGCGAGGGGCCTGGCTGTCATCGGACAGGTGTGTGAGCAAGGACGGTAGAGAGCTGCCTCCTGGTAAAGGTCCCTCCTGGGTACAGACCCTCTTAGGCACAGAGGCCTACAAGTGCCCACTGACCTGGGACACAGGGGGTGTGACATTTTGCAGGAAAGCCCCCCTCATCTATGCCCCGTCCTCAGCTACATAAGCCCTTGTCCTTAGGGGGCCTTCTACTGTGTGCTGAAGTGGGGCCTGGCTTCAGGATGCTGAGATGGGGGCAGTGGCCACTGGACGGGGTGCTGTTGGTGAGGGCCCTTCCCCAGCCTGGGATCGGTGTTGTCAGGAGAGCTTCCTGGAGGAGGTGTCCTGGGTTTTGGAGAATGATTAAGTTAGCTGCGCTGGGAAAGGGGAGACCCCCGTGGGCCCTTCTCCCCGGGCGGGGGGGTGAGCTTTGTCCTGGGGGCTCTAAAAAGAGGAGGTGGCACTCAGATGCAGGTTTCGGAGAGACCCACCTCTCCCCCAGCAGCCAGGCCACCTCGTGGGCCTCCGCTCATCATGAGGCGCTCTTGTCTTGCCAGGGGCACTTTGAGGGGTGCAGGGCCTGTGGAGATACCCAGGGCTCCTGGCTGCATCCACAGCCACCCACGGTCAGAAACGACCGCAGCCCAAGCACAAGGAATTCAGAGGATAAAAGAAGCAGAGCGCCTCGGGGCTGAGACTGGACTGCCTGCCACCCAGGAAGTGCCTCTCTGGCCAGGCTAGTGGGGAGGGGTTTGTCTGGAGTGCCTGGTGGCCGGGTGACCGAGGCCCTTGGGGATGGCTGACAGCATTTTGATTTACGGCCGCGTGTTCTGTTGCTGGCTCAAAGCCGGGGAGGGTGTGAGTCAGTACTTCTCCTGCAGGTCCACCCCAGGCCTGGGCATAGGGAAGCTGGGGCCCCCACAGTGACTTTGTAGGGACAGTGGCGTCCTCGGCTGTGCTCCAGGTTGTATGTGGACTTGCCTGTGGGCACGGGGAGGCCCCAGGATGGCAGCTGTTCACAAAGGCGCTGGAGAGGCCTCAGCCCAGAGCTGGAAATGAGGCTGACAGTGGTCCCAGGTGATCCCACGTCCAGCAGGCCTTCGCTAGCAGCGAGCTCAGGAAAGACACCTGTCCTGGGGGGTCACTGAGGGCTGAGCTGGGCTTTCAGGGAGCCAGGCTGTGTGTGAGCTAGCAAGTGTGTTCAAGGGGTGTTGGGGAGGGAGTGAGGACATCTCAGGAGAAAACCACTGAGAAGCGGGGGGCTCATGATGAGAGCAGGCTCAGCAGGGAGGCTCGGTCCAGCAGGGCCAGGCAGCCAGTGGGCCAGCGGTCCTTGGGGCCAGGCCTCTGCTCTGCCAGAGAGTGCTCGGGCCTGGGCAGGTGGTGGCTGTGCCAGTGGAGGGCTGGGATGCACCCCCGCTAGGATACAGCCCCCTCCACTCCAGAGGAGCCTCAGCTCAGGCTGAGGGGAGTGTGTCTCTTTGGACCCTCCCCACATACACAGGTCCTCATGCACACACACATATGTGCATGCACATATCTCTGCACACCATGTGCACACACACATATCCCCACATGCAGGCATGCACCCTCACAGGTGAGCCCACATATCCATGTGCACATGTGTGCATGTATGCGTGTGCACACACACACGGGCATCCGCAATGTGCGTGCTCATCTTCACAGGGAATGGATACACATATCCACACACACACCTGCACGCACAGACATATCACCACAGATGCACACATGTGTGTCCATACACATACATGCGTGCACAGCCCCGTGTATATGCATACGCTGTACTCACATGCACATTTGTTTACACAAGCATCTACATGCATACTGTGCACACACGTGCATCACAGATACCCACACATGATGACACATGTGCATACACACGTCCATGCACGCGTGCATGCACCCACCCGTGCATGCACATGCATCCAGGCACGCATACTCTGTACACGCAGGGTGCACCGCCGTGTGCCTGCCCGTGCCACTCGTGCATATCCATCCGTCCACACATGCTTGCAAACATGTATCATGCATGCATGCACACCTGCCCCTGGGCATGCCTTTGTGTATATCCACACCCACTGTGCACACGCACTGGGAGTACAGATGTATGCACGCCCAGGTGAGCATGCACACACGTGTGCACACACCTGTATGCACACACATGCACACACATACCTTGGTCTGCTGCCCTCCATCCCGGCTTTCCAGACGGCGCAGTTCTCTAGCCATCCTGCTCCGGGCTGTGAGCGCGCTGGCCAGTGCCCGTGTGGACTCAGCTGTGGGTGCTGTGGTGAACCCACCACGCCTTTGCTGACACGGCCTGAGATGCCACTGCTGCCTGCAGCCCCTCGGGGCATGGCCTAGGTTTGGGTGCAGACTACTTGGCCCCCAGCTGCCTCTAGCTCGCTGTGGAGGGGGCCGCCCTCGCATACTGGGAGCTGGCATGTGCCAGGCACTGTGTGGGCACCTGACGTTCTTTCATCCTCCAGCAGCCTTGGGAGACAGCGCTCCTCTCCCACTTAGTGGTTGTTGGGAAGCTCGAGCGGTGAGCTCCCTGCCACAGGGCACCCCGCTGCAGGCGGTGGACAGGCTGCGGCCGATGCCGCTGCTCTGCTGGCTTTGGGCGGGGCATGTCTTTGCGTGCACTCCCACCACTGACCGGCAGCCCCGCTGCCCCCACTCCCTCCTGGCACCACTGCCCTGGCCACCTGACTGCCATGCTTGCCCACACCTCGGGGACCTTGACATGTGCTGTTCTTGAGGTTTTCCCTGACCAAACCTAGACCTCTCTGCTCCCTTCAAACCTCATCGCATGACCCCTCCTCCAGGAAGTCTCCCCTGACCTGCCCGGCTGGAGGAGAGGCCCCTTCGCCGGCCTCCTGTTCACCCCAGAGCAGAGTGATCAGCGCCAGTGGTTGTGTCTCCTGGGCTGTGGGCTGTGAGGGGCGAGTGGTGTCTCTGAGTGGCGCCTTCCCAGCCCAGGGCCTGGTCTAGCTCACAGTGGGTGCTCCGTTGAAGCACAATGGCAAGATGGGTGGTATGCAGGGCGAGATGGTGGCTTGCTTGCCTTTGCAGGGAACCCTGAGAAGCACTGGCCTCCTCCAGCCGCCTCAGCCACGCTGATGCCTGCTGGGTGTTGGGTGCATGCAAGGTCCAGGTACCTGTTTCCAGTCCCAGCGTCCCCACCCACCAGGCCCTTTCTGCCTCAGCTTTGCAGAGTTTGGAGTCGTCTGATGTGGATTTAAGCTCCCATGCATTCCTTAGCTTGCTGTGGGGCAGCAGACGAGCCTCCCTCCTCCCTGGGCCCCAGTTTTCCTGTCTGTGAAATGGGGACATTGGACCGGACCATTCCAAGGTCCATGCCAGCTCCGAGTCTCCTCCCTCTCCCTGCCTGGCCATGAGCTCTTCGAGGGGGTGCTGTGTCTGGTCCCCGTCTTTGTCCTCGGTTGCTGCCTGCGAGGGAGAAACAGAGGCTGGAGCCAGGAGGAGCCCCCTTGCCCTGAGCCCCGGTGGGGCAGGAGCGGAGGAGGCCATGTTTTCCTCTTGGAGCTGAGAGGAAGATTTTTTTCCATGTGTATTGGAAATTTCATTTTAAAAGATACAGCAGGGAAAAATGAGGCTTGCCCCCCCACCCCCACCCCTCCCTGAGGCATTCCAGAAACAAATTGGTCTTGTCAGGACACGGCCAGGGCCGGCCGGGCTGGCCACGTGCTGACCACAGACAGAATCCATGCTTTATTGATCCATATGGATGGATTCGACACGGCCGGGGCTTAAGAGCCCGACAAGGTCGCTGTGGAGAAGAAGTACTTCGGGCGGGGACTGGCTGGGATTTGTGGTGAGCATAATAGATTTAAGCAGCGGCTCAGGATGGGTTATTGAGTGCCAGCTGTGTACCCCAGCCTGCTCTTCTGGGTGCCAAGCCCAGGTCCCCCTCCCACCAGTCCCGGCTACCATGTGCTCGGCCTCCAGGCTGACCTCTGTTGGCCTCGTCCCTCCCTCCATGGCTTCCTGCTGCCCTCAGCTGCCCGGACACCTGAGCCTGGCATTCAGAGCCTCCCAAGGCCAAACCTCATCCCCTCATCATTCATTCATTCATTCCACAGACACTCCTGGCACGTCTACCCCATGCTAGCCCTGGGGGTACAGAGGGCATTCGGGCAGGGGGTGGCCCTGGGAGGGCCCCACTTCCTGCCTCCCCTTAGCCCCATGTCTGGGACTTGCCGGCTCTCCTGAGCCCTGGCTAGGAGAGGCGGCTGGGATTGGGCTCAGAGCTGGACTCTGGCATTGATGGACCAGGTTTTCTGGTGACCTTGGGAAGCCCCATTTCTGAGCCTATAAATGCGGGTGAGCGTAGCCCCTCCCCACCAGTAATGCTGTAAAGCACTTAGGCCAAGGCTGCTCGTTGAGGGTCTGCCATGCTCTGGCCCCGCTGCCGGTCCTGGGCCTCAGGCGCTGGCCACACTTTTGCCCACTAGGCCTGCTCGGCCCTGAGGGTGGTGCCAATGGCCCCCTGCACTGTCTTCTCTGTCAGAGCCCTGACCTCAGGGTCCGCGGCCCTGGATCCCACAGCGCAGCGCTACACCATTACTGGCACTTGTCACCTAGAGATGCTCCCCGTGAGACCTAAAGAGGCAGTGTTCACTCGGCCACCCCTCCTGTCCCCTGGCCCCCAGCCTCAGGCTCCTGAGCCCCTGGCCCTCAGCGTGCTCACCCTAGCTGCCATCACGGGCTGCCACTTCCCTGCCAGGACTGTTCCAGACCCTCTGTGTGTTGGTGCACCTTGTCCTCATCCCTTTAGGCACACGCCAGTGTCATTGCCCCCATTATCCAGATGGGGACAGCGAGGCCCTGACCCTTGCTCAGGACCACCCATCGGACGAGGGAGAGCAGACCCACAGCTGGGCAGCTGGCCCCGGAGCCTGCCTGGCTGCCCTGCCATCTGCCTCACACCTCCTCTGGCCTCCGGCTTTGAGGGGTGGGTGATGACGGAGCAGAGGCCAGGAGGGGAGGGGGCGTCACCAGGGAAGGAACACGAGGAACACTCCTGGAAAGAGGATCTGCGTCACGTGGAGCCTCGGGGCAGGAAGAGAGCCCTGAGATGGCCCTGTTCCCCACGTCGGTCTCCTCCCTGTCCTCCCCTCTGCTCTCCTCTCCCCAGAGTTCAGCATCCCAGCCTCAGCCTGCAGCCCCCACCCCAGCTCCACGCTGAGCCTGCAGGAGCCGAGGTACAGGCCCGGTGTCCACTAACAAGAGCATTCCCACACGTCCGTTGGTGTCGACTGACCGCCTGCTGTGCAGCAGGTGTGGGCAGCACCCAATGCTCTGTTTAGAGAACAAGGTGCCTCTCAGGGTCAGCAGACAGGGACTGGCGCCGGCAGTGACAGCCTCGGGGACCGAGAGATGGAGGAACACAGGGCAGTGGGGCCCGGAAGAGGCTGCTTAGGGACTGGCTGAGCTCAGCTTTGTGTGTCTGTCCAAAGATGCAGGCTGGGGAGTGTTCCAGGTCTAGGGGTGGAGTGGGCAGGCACAGTGGGCTCTCTACCCAGCAGCCAACGCTCACTTCCTCTTTGTTTGCTGTGGTAGGTAGAATTCTCAGCTGAGCCTCAATAATTGCGCCCTTGCATCACCCCATCTCCGTGAGTGTGGGCCAGACCTGTGGATAGAATGGGCTATCACTCCTGTAGTGCTGGAGGTGCTCACTCATCTATGCCAAGAAATTTGGAAGGCAGCTGCCTGGCCAACTGCCTGGAAGAGATCCACATTTGTACCCATTCCAAAGAAAGGTGATCCAAACGAATCCAGAAGTTATCGAACAATATCGTTAATATCACACACAAGTAAAATTTTGCTGAAGACCATTCAAAAGTGGTTGCAGCTGTACATTGACAGGAGACTGCCAGAAATTTAAGCCGGATTCAGAAGAGGGCTTGGAATGAGGGATATCATTGCTGATGTCAGACGGCTCTTGGCTGAAAGCAGAGAATATCAGAAAGATGTTAACCTGTGTTTTATTGACTATGCAAAGGCATTTGACTGTGTCGATCATAACAAATTATGGATAACATTGAGAAGAATGGGAATTCTAGAACACTTAATTGTGCTCATGTGAAACCTGTACATAGATCAAGAAGCAGTCATTCAAATAGAACAAAGGGATACTGCGTGGTTTAAAATCAGGAAAGGTGTGTGTCAGGGTTGTAACTTTTCACCATACCTATTCTATCTGTATGCTGAGCAAATAATCCAAGAAGAAGAACGGGGCATCAGGATTGGAGGAAGACTCATTAACAACCTGTGATGTGCAGATGACACAACCTTGCTTGCTGAAAGCAAAGAGAACTTGAAGCACTTACTGATGAAGATCAAAGACCACAGCCTTCAGTGTGGATTACACCTCAACATAAAGAGAACAAAAATCCTCACAACTGGACCAATAAAGTTGTCAAGGATTTCACTTTACTTGAATCCATAATCAATGCCCATGGAAGCAGTAGTCAAGAAATCAAACGGCATATAATATTGGGCAAATCCAATGCAAAATTGTTAAAAAGTGTTAAAAAGTCACTTTGAGGACTAAGGGGTGCCTGACCCAAGCCATGGTGTTTTCAGTCACCTCATATGCATGCAAAAGCTGGACAATGAATAAGGAAGACTGAAGAATTGATGCATCTGAATTGTGGTGTTGGTGAAGAATATTGAATATAGCATGGACTGCCAAAAGAATGAACAAATCTGTCTTGGAAGAAGTACAGCCAGAATGTTCCTTAGAAGAAAGGATGGTGAGACTTGGTCTCACGTACTTTGGACATGTTATCAGGAGGGATCAGTCCCTGGAGAAGGACATCATGCTTGGTGTCTTAGTCATCTAGTGCTGCTATAACAGAAATACCACAAGTGGACGGCTTCAACAAAGAGAAATTTATTCTCTCACAGTCTAGTAGGCCAGAAGTCCAAATTCAGGGCGTCAGCTCCTGGGGAAGGGTTTCTTTCTCTGTCAGCTCTGGAGGAAGGTCCTTGTCATCAATCTTCCTCTGGACTAGGAGCTTCTCCGTGCAGGAACTTCAGGACCAAAGGACGTGCTCTGCTCCTGGCACTGCTTTCTTGGTGGTATGAAGTCCCCCTACTCTTTGCTTGCTTCCCTTTCCTTTAATCTCTTGTAAGACAAAAGGTGGTGCGGGCCACTCCCCAAGGAAACTCCCTTTACATTGGATCAGGGATGTGACCTGAGCAAGGGTGTTACATCCACCCTAATCCTCTTTAACCACAAGCAGAGATTAGGATTTATAACACACAGGAACATCACAAAACGGAAGACAGCCACACAATACTGAGAATCATGGCCTAACCAAGTTGA